GAGAGAGAGAGAGAGAGAGAGGTTGTAGAGGGTGGGGGCATGAGAGAGAAGGCAAGAGAAGTGACCAAGGGTTTTGAGAAGTGAAAGGGGGAGGAATAGAAAGGGTGGAAATGGGATAAGGCTTATTGTTTATTGCAGTTACAAGGTTGGAAAATTCACCCGCTCGAGCACCTAGGCAGTCAGAGGCCTTAGTCGCATCACTAGGCCTAGTCGGGCGAGAAGGGGGCCATGTCACAATGCGGGGTGAATATGCCCCTCGGGTAGGGGCGTTTTTGATCTTTTTGCCCCTCAGATTCTTGTGTTAAAACCATGGGGTTTAGCTCCCGAAAACTCTTGGAGAACCAATTTCAAGCCAAAAACATGCTCAAATCTGGATTTCTTGTGAGAAATCCAAGATCTAATGCAAATAAATTTTTTTTTTGGATTTCTTGTGAAATCGAAAGGCATTTACACCCAATGGCTTGAAATGGTTGTGAAAAGTGGTTTTGGGCAACCAATGTTTGCCCTTTCGAAGCTTGAAGGATTCCATTTTCCGGGCTAACGATTTTCAAGTTTTTGGATTAGGGTTTTATGAGAAACTATATTATTTTTATATATAATTTCTATAGATGATTTTCTTTATTGTTTGACTATTTTATACACTTTATGATTTATGAATGTACGGATTTACTGTTTGGTTTCTTTTTTTTCCTTTTGAAATTAGGTATTTTAACTTGTATCCAGGGGGGTTTGGTATTTAACCTAGCCCTAAAAAAAAAAAATTTCTTACTTGACATTTGGGTGCCCATCTCTCTAAGCGCCCTACGAGGCAGGCGTCAAGGCGTCCTAGGCCCCTCATTGCCTCGGCTTTGCCTAGTGAGTTCTCCAACCTTGGTTACAAAGGGTTAAAATAAAAAAACGAGGGAAGGGGCTTGGGGTTGTGAATAAATACTTCGAAAAAAAAAAATAATGCCGCTAGATATTTTAAAGTTCGGAGGGGATACTAGGATATTGATCCCAATTTTAGGGATTATTGAGATATTTTCCCTATATATCATCACCATCATCCGAGCCTTATCCCAATTATTTGGGGTCGGCTATACGAATCTTTTTCCGCCGTTCTACTCTCAAGGGATACACCTTCGGTCAGATCATAAGTCATCATATTTCTTCTCTCTACTTCCATCCATTTCCTTTGGGGCCTTCCCCTTGCCCTTGTAGAGCTTCCACTTAAACCACATTACCCTTCCTAATTGGTGTTATATTAAGTCTACGCTGCATATGGTCGGCTCACCTAAGTCTATTTCCCCTCATATATATAAGATCTATACATGGGGTTTGATGAGTTTAGAAGGCTCCCCGAGGCGGGGGGGTGGGGTTTAGGGAGGGGATTGCTGGTGTGCGTTGTTGGGGTTCTGTTCTTTAAGAAATCGAGGTTGTGAGATAGGCAAGAAAAACTAGAGAAAAGTAAACAGAAAGTGAAACATTAGTACATCGAAAAGGGCATGGCCCCCACAAGTGCTCTAAAGCCCATAAAGTTAAATAGGAATTTATGGACCCAAGATAAGTGGTGGTGTTATTAGTTGGTCCATATTTTGGATCATCCAACAGTCAGGTCCTAAATTTACCCCTTTTTTGGGGAAATTATTGCAAATATCCCTTTAATTTTCACTCTCCCATTTTTTGCTGTTTATTATGCCCAAAATGCTTTCGTCACAGGTTTGTTAGGTCTGTGAAGGCTTTACTGACCTGTTAGGTCTATGAAGCTCTGTTGTTATGACTAGGGAGCAACCCTTGGGTGCCTTTTACGAACCTATAGGTATTGAAAGGTCCCAAGCAGCCAAATGATGCACCCAACCCTTCAATTTATCATACCTATTTTGAAAATTGAAGGGTTGGTTGCACCACTTGAGTGCAGACCTTTACGGACTTGGTAGGTCTATAAGGGGTCCTTTATGGATCTAATAGGTCCATAAAGGTCCTAAGCACCCAAATGGTTCTTCCTGGGCATAAAAGGTGAGCTTCACAAACCTAACAAATCTGCAAAGCTTTTACAGACCTTTTAGGTCCGTAATGATGATGTTTTGGCCATTTAAAAAATAGCAGAAAATGGGTTGCACTTAATAAATAAGAATATTAGGTATATTAGAAATTTTTGACAATTAGAGGGATATTAGCAATAATTTCCATTTTGTAATTCACATTTACCCCCGTTCAAAGGTTCAACTTTCAAAGTACAAAAAATAGGAAGCGTTTGGGTGTTTCAAAGTCAAAATTTTGAACCGCTCAAAGCACACAAAAAAAAAAAACGTTTTTGGGTGGTTTGAAAACACACAAAAACTGTTTAGGTGATTTGGAAGTTGGAATTTTGGGCTGAATTTTTTTATTTCTTGGGGCTGTTCAAGACTTGGACATTCATACCACCGAAACACGTTATCTGGTTTGTATTTTAGGTAATTTGGGAGAGGACTTTTGAATCGACCGAACTCAACTTTTTTTTTTCCTTTTTTACCAAACATTTTGTTTTTTGGGTATTTCAGGCTGTCTCAAAGTTATTTCTGATTTTTTTTTTGCGTTTTTGTCTGCTCTAATATTGTACTTTTGAACTGAGTGTAAAATAGGAAAAAAAAAAACTTGAAAATTTGGGATCCCAAATTACCCAAAATATGGACCAACTTATAGTGCCACATCTTATTTTCGGTCCCTACTTAAATTTCCCAAGTTAAATTATGATTTTTACCGGATTTTACCCCTTCTAGGAAGAGAAAAAAATGGTTATTCAACATACTTTTTTTAACAAGAATATCCTAATGAAAAAGAGTTCTTTAAAAGGGCATTGTTGTTGAACTTTATAAAACTTTGACTTCTGTATTACCATTTTCCACTTTAATATTCTGTCTTTTAAAGACTAAAATATTAAACCATAGAGTATACACGGGTGTTTTGGTATGAAATGTGCTAAAACCCTTTCATTTTCCTTATCCACCTGAGGTTTCATCATTTGCATCGGTCCTCATAACCTGCAACCCGATGTAAAGTCTTGTATATGTTTCTGGCCTCGCGTTTTCTTTTCTCATCCTTGTCATACACACATTTTAAATAATTAAATATTACAGGGCAAAATGGTGAAATAAAAAGAGTTAAATGTTTAAGCCATATGCTACTCCATTGATGTCTAAGATCTCCATGCGTTTTTTATTTTAATGCAATGGTAAAACAGTCATAAGAAATTTTTTCAAAAAAAAAATATAGAGAAATAATTTGATTTGGTGTGCACATGCTTTTAAACTTGCACAATGCTATGATGGGAGTATGCATAGCGTGATAGAAATGGAACCATGGTAGTGATCGATTTTACCCTGATTCTTGTGATACTGCTGAAGTGCTGCTGGTGATATGTCTTATCTATCACATTATTGCTTTAATTAATTAAGTTTCTAATGAGATAATGAACTGTGCTGTTAGTATGTTGTGATTTTTTTATTCTTCCAAGTTTTAGTCCAGGCCTATTGTTGCTCCTTTGTAACTCCTCTTATTCTGTTTTGGTATTGAGATTAATTCTTATCTAGCAAATAAGATAGCAATATTGATAACAGTCATATGCATAATCCATATCACTATTTTCTGGCTCTTCGTAAATTAGCGTTCTGTTTGGTGCTGTGTCAGGCAGTGAATGTTGTTTTAAACATGGTTTGTATAGTAGCCATATTACTCTATTAGCATAGTTCTTAAAATATGTGTCGGGGATGTGATTTAACTTTATTTTTGTTCCAATCTGCAGAAGATGCACAACTCACACCAGTTCTCCGTCTTGGAGCCGGAGCTTGTGCAGGAATTATTGCTATGTCTGCAACTTATCCTCTGGACATGGTGCGAGGAAGGTTGACTGTCCAGGTATATTTGATGATTGGTTTATCTGTACTCATGCATGGGATTCACAACATTAGTACTTGTTTTTGGCAATATGTGCGACTGGCTCTATGCTTGAATCATTTTGGTTTTTGTTTTTTGACTTTTTTCTCCATTTTTCTTTTGCAGACAGAGAAGTCTCCTTATCGGTATAGAGGAATGTTTGACGCATTATCAACGGTTTTGCGGGAAGAAGGCCCTCGTGCCTTGTATAAAGGCTGGCTTCCTTCTGTTATTGGAGTGGTTAGCACAATCTATGACCTCTAATTAAGTCCAAACTTTGAAAATATTTTTACTAATGTCGTCTAGGAACTCCATTCAACACTGACATTCATCACTTCTGTTATGAAAGTATTCCACTTGAGATCTCTCAAACATGCTTTACAGAAATGTTCTCGTTCTTTCAGTCCTGCAAATATATGGCTTTGAGTATCTTAAGCCAGTTTGAGTTTGGATTTTTCAGATAATTAAATGGATAAGTTGCCATAGGGTAAATGAGTAAGCGTGAGTCTACGAAGGCTATTTATGATGTATTCTGTCATTTGCTTGTTGGAGTGATTTACTCTTTATGATCATAGTGTTTATTTAATTGACATAAGTAAACGAAACTATTCTGTGGTTCACATAGGGATTTGAAGTACAAAAAATTTATGTGTGTTGACTGGAAACCCATACTATTTTATGCTTTTCTTTTTTAAAAGAAATGTCTCGTTTTCAGTTACGTTATGTTATGCTTGATGTTAGTTTGGGTTCATAATTTTGCAAGCACACTAATAAGTACAAAGTGTAGACAATGGCTTGCTGAATTAGCTCTTTATGTAACCCATTGAGGATAGTAGTATTTGGCATATGAAATCCCGGTACCTGAGCATTTGGAGTTGGCGATGACAAATTGCAGATTTGTGAATGCTAGCTTTATTAAGTTAGATTCAGTGTTGATGGTTGAACTGCTGGTAGGACCCTTGATATATCTTGTGTTTGGTTTGTGAGAACATTCTTTAGTATTCAATCAAAGTATTTATTAGGCTAGAATCAAATTACTGTGAAGATTTAAACGGGAACACTCCTCCCAAAGGATGTTGTATTGCAATCCTATTAATTTTCTGTTGTCTAGAGGAACATTTCTGATGCCAGAAGAATATGGTCAGATGTGTTCTCCATTTACATGAGGGTATTGGTGGGCCAAATTTTGTATTCTCCCTGGATTTTGTGATTGTTTGGGCATGCTAGCAAAGAAAGGAGTGTTGGATATACCGGATTTTATATGAGTGCATGTTTCAGTTTCATCTTTAGCTTCTTGTTATATTATTCATTTGTAGTGAAGCAAAGTGGACATTTTAATTGGGTTCCTCGTACTGAATTTGAAGCATTTTGATTGATGCTACTATCAAATAAAACCTTATCTATAGTTCTGCATTCTATGCATTCTATTTTTACAGCTGACGTGTTGTTCTCCTTCAACTGAATTATACATATTGCATGTCTCTATCGTCCACTCCAACTCTGGTCTGCAGTTTTCAAAATCCTTTTGCATATGACAGCATTGAAATTTTTTATTTAAAGCTGAATGCTGGAGGTTGATGCTTGAGAATGTAACTTAACCCAAACAAAAGTACAATGAAGAGCTTGAGGGTCAAGGGCTCACTATGTACGACAATTACAACTGTCTAGGGAAGTGTTCAATCCTTTGGCCCTTGGATTATCCCTTACTCATACCATGAAGAAATATTCTTCTCCATGTCATCACTCCAAAGGTCACAAATTTGATTTTTTCCCACTTATCTTAGGGTTTCTAGGCTGCCACATTTGTCTCTACAGATCCCTTCTTTGCAAAAAATGAATAGAAATCAATATATCTTTTACAAGTACATGATGTAATTCATCATTATCGTCATCATGTAATTCTTCACTTCAATTTTCTGCAGTTTCTAGGTTGAGCACTCCTCACATAGAGTTGCATAATTCCTCAATCTTTCATGACTTCTATTTGAAATTTTGTTATCATAAAGTACACACATAGCACAATAATAGGACTCAGAATGAACCTTAAAGCTTTCCTATCAATGAAAGTACAATTAGTGACTTCACATGTAACACCTTTTTATTTGCTGCATAAAAGAAAGTGCGCATCCTCTGATTAAAAGTGGGTTATCTCACCCATTGTTGTATAGTGGGGCCCACACCCGTACCAAGGTGGTCCCTTATGTCTTAGGGGTCCTCATAATAAATAAGTTATTTTAAAACTTATAAAATGACTTTTAGAAAATCATTAATACTTTTACTTTCTCTCTGAATATTCAAAACAAAATTAATTGTTTTTAAATGAATCTGATGGAAATCGGATCCAACTTCGTTAAGGAAAATGCAAAAATAATGAGTCAGCCCATCTCTACTGGTGGTTATGTCCCGCACTCACTTTCTCAAATTGACTCAGTCGTTCCCATGACCCACAGTCCATCACAAGGGTTCATGATTGGATTTCCAAGGCCAGCTGATAGGTGATGACAACATAATCCTAGTCTATGGACTATAGGTTCTCCCTAGAGACAAGCTTAGGTCAAACAGACGTGTGCACACTCATTACAATTGGTGCATGGGGGCTATCTCTAGCACATGTTCCTGTAACACCCTCAATGGTGTTTATATCCCAATACGGCTATCATATGTTCAAGCCATGTGATGTTCTTGGTGAGGGTTTGGCTCTTGTCCCTTCAGGCCTACCAATCACAAATAAGGGCCACAAAGTCCCTTGGCCAACTACCCTGGGCATCTCTCTGACCTCATCAAGGGTAAACCCTGCAAATCCATCTCGGTTGTGCTTTGTGCCCAGTTATCATAGGTTGTAGAATTCAACTCAGCCTAGCTCTTCAAGCCTAGTTTGAGTCATGACATCAATATTGCCAACTTAGGGCCCTCTGGAGCATGTTCCTTTAGTCCCTCTGGACAGTACTCCCACATGATTTATCATGTCACTATAGTCATAGAGTTATGTGGCCATTTAAAGCCTTATGAGGGCATGTAAAACTAACACAACATGTTTGAGATGTCCCACCTTGTAATAATGGGTGCATGAATGCCATGCCCTATTGATTGAGCAACAACCTCAACCGTTTACTGTCGTTTGCAATAGTACCGCTTCTATCGTCTATTAGGGATTGGGGTACATGTTTTAGGGAAAAAATTCATAACTTCTTACCTTTCTTCTCTTATGAAGAGTCCACATAATTTAGCAATGGGAGCTTGGCTTGTTCCAAAATCTATCATATTTCAGTCTTAAATTCTGAATTGAGTTTATTAAACTCATGTCTTATCTTTTGCCAAAATTTCATTAGCTAGACATTCGATCAGAAGGTGGTAGGTATAACATATAAAATTTAAATTCCCCCATGTATTCTACATATATCCTTAATAAGCGAAAATTGTTCGACTACCATGTTGGCAGTGCCTTTGTAGTACTAAGCAATCATCGCACATAATATAATGAAGACTCAATTTGTTTGCCGGTAAAACCCCTCAAGTCAATTTTGGGATACGGAGCGGACCATAGTAGTGACATTAGTGATGTACTGATGGTGTTTGTCTTGAAGTCTGTTAAAAGATAGTTCTTGCCATTGTCAACCTTCACTTATTGGTAATTGTACCGTCTCCAAAGTTGAATAGATCTAGTCCAGTGTTTGAAAATTCGGCTGCTCAGCCGCCTAGGTGGCCAATCACCTAACACGCCTAGGCAGCCAATCGCCTAAAACGCCTAGGCCCCTGCCTAGGCGCTACAGTCAAGGCGGCTGCCAAGGTGTCACCTCGATGCAGGTTGTTCAGAGCGAAAAAAATCCCCTACGTGCCTTTTAGAGAGAGAAGACTCCCCCAAAACCTCTATTTTGTGATTTATTTAAAGATCGATAAATTATGAATTCTTCTGTAATCAAAGGCAATGCTTCGTGGTAGTTTTCGGAGCTTCAACTGGTCAATAGTGAGGACTTTTAGCGATCGAATAGGCAAAGTTTGGGCCGACATCGTTTCAATTTGATATTTTTAAGAGCCATGATGATATTTGAGTAAGGGTTTTGATTTTTTTTGCTATGATGTATTATGTTTTGAATCATTTGATTTTTTTTATTTGTAGCTTTTTTTTCCTTTTATGATATATGTACATATTTGTAGTTAGTAAGATTGATTTTTTTTTTGTTGTGATTAATTAATTACTAACTTGTTTGGACGATGAAATTGGTCCTATATTGAATTCTTTTATGAATAATTGGTTCTTATTTTGTACAATATGTGATGTTTTGATATCCTATTAGTTTTGTTATACTCTTTTGATATTTTTTACATATTTGTAGATGGAATATTTACCGATTTGGACTTGTATTTTGTGAATAGTCATAAACTTTGGAATAAATTGATATTTTGTGAATATTTGATATCCAAAACCAAATCTTATGGATATAAATTAATAAATAATAATTATATTATACCTTATATCTTAATTCTTATGTGAATAGTTCCTACCCATCCAAAAACGCCTAGGCGCCCTCCTGTAGGGCTGGCTTTAGCACCTTCACTTATGTGCTCATGTGTCTCCTGTCTCTTTTATAGGGCATACACCCCCATAACTTCATTTGCCTCTTCGATGTGGGAGTAATCCCACACAGTGGAGAGGGAGGGGTGGAGTTAGCGAGAGAAACAAGTATTCTATTGAGATTCAAAGATTGGCCTGCTGGCCACTATTTCGCTTTTTTGAATAGTAAAATAAAGGATCTTCCAACAGCTTTTAAAGGTTCACGTGAGCCGTATGTACACACCTCACACCCTCCTTTCAATCCTTCCACGTGCGTGCATTTATACAAATTATCTTCGATTTCTCCAAGTCATGCAATGGAATTTAAGAGACACCAAGCCATTGAAGCCAAGAAGTTTGCCTACTCGATTAATGCAATTAAACTCCGTAGGTGGGAGGGGTGAGAGAGAAAATTGTTGTTTTGTGGGGAAAATATTTTAGTCCCACATTGAAAGATTTAGAGAGGTAATGTGGGGATTTTCTATAAAATGAAGGGTAGATTTTAAAAGAGGGGAGAAATTTCTGGTTCTTGGTCCGGTATGGGGCGGGTCCCCTAGTACCCGGACCCGGACCCGGACCCGGACCTGGACCCGTACCCGAGAATCTTCGGGTACATTATAAAGGACCCGAACCCTACCCGCGGGTCCAAGGTTTGGATACATACCCGGACCCTTGTTGGGTATACCCG